TCTACAGAAGGGGTTTATAATCTCTGGCTGCTTTACAAGCACACCCCTCCACTTTGGAAATCGTGTGGACATGGACTTTCTGCCTCTATCTACCAATCTCAAGGATTTTTAGGGTGCTTGGAGGAAAATCTATGCTGAAACAAGGGTTATTTTTTTTCAGAAAAATCCTTGGACAGTTCCCTAGTTTGATGTACCATAGTCTGAAAGGTCAGGAAAAAAGAAATAGTTTTCCCAATTCTGCTGTGTTTTTATGGGTATACTGGGCAGATTTGACTACTATTTCTTTTTTAATCAATCCTTTCCACCAGTGGCAGGGACAGTCCTAATTAAAAACTGGAGGGAGTCATGTGTAACCGTGTTTCAGAAGGGTTCTTCCTAAATCATATAATGAACTCTCTCGTTTGTTCAGATGGGAAAGAAAAAGAAGTGGTTTTCACATACAATATGAAGACCTCTGCGCTGACGCTGGAAAATTTAGCCCTGAGCATTGATGCTAACTGGGAGATTTGCATCAACTGAAAGGAGACGCAACTTCTTCAGAGAATTCATTGAGAGGTTGAAGGGAAATACGTTGGGGAGACTTAAAGTGTTCACTTAAATCCAGTCAAATCAAGGAACATATTTCCCACCCACATCCCCAAACTAACATTTCCTGCAATTTTTCTTTTACAGCACTGATTTAAACTTGGATAGCTATTCTATTTGGCAAAAGTAATAGCGCTAGGTTTGTATCTTTGGGGAAAAAGCTAAGTACCGATTGCTCCAGGCTAGCTTCAGTTAGGCATTAAGATTAAGTCCTGCCTCCACGTGTGCCAAAAAATCATAAATTGATGGGGTGAGGTTGTGGCTCGTTGACATGGGGCTTAATGTAAATATTTGGAAATCCCACTATTCAGAAACTGGAGTACTTGAGAAGAGCAGATCTGGGCCGATTCAACAAGCAGCATCAGTAGATACGCCAGATGCAGAGGTTACCATCAGAGTTCTGCCTGCAAGCTGCCGTGTGAAAACAAACACAGAAGGAGCCACCCAGTGTGATTACAGACACTTCCCCTTTCCAGTCCTTGTGTCAATGCCAAATTAGGCAGCCTGTACAGGAAAACAAACAACGGGCTAGCCAAACAGTGCAGTCACCGAACGTAAGGTCTGAGTATGTTGTGCTAGTCAGTTGTGCGATAGTAAAAGACGGTAATGTGGGAGTGCAGAAGTCTCTCCAATAGCTGGCTCTGAGACTGGTATCCGGATTATGAAAAGGCACAGGTCTACATAAGTGCAATAGTGGCTTAAGGTAGCAGCTAGACTCACGCAGAAACATTTTCCATGTTATTGCTCCCCTCTTTCTGCAAGTACTACTTAAAAAAATAAGCCCTTTGTTAGGAAAGAGTTGGCATTTTTGGATGATTTAATATCATTAGTTAAGGCCAGCACAGTGAAGCAACTGCTTATGGAGAGCTCTGCTTCTCCACATCTTCCCACTCTTGCCAAGAGTTGGCTTCCTTTACACGTTTTAGTAATTTCTTGGTCCGTTTTTAGTATCTTAGTATCTTTTACTGTTTTTATGTTTTGTATTTATGAAACAAGTTTTTAGTTTTAATGGGATTAATTCTGCATTTAGCCATCCCACTTCACGATTATCTCCCCATTGTCTTACAATTCACCCTAACGTTCCCTTGCCTCCTTTTCCCACCACCTCTGTGAGCAGAACTGGTGTGTCCTGATGCTTTCTTCCCTTTCAGAACTAGGAGACATCCTGAGTCCCACAACCCCTATATCCTGCCTATTCCCACAGCCCTTTCCCTATCAGGCATCTCTTTTCACAGGCTACCATTGCTCCACAACTCAAGTTGTTTGCCCTTTCCATTTCCAGTTCTGCTTCGAGTCAAACCTGAACATGCCATCAGTTGGGTTTTGTGGCTATAAAAGGGCAAAATTTACTTAATTTCTTTTAGCAAGATAAGGAAGTATTTTCTAAACATCAGTAAATTAACTCTTGGGAAACAGAGAAGAATGGTCCCCATTTTTGCCAAGTAAGGGTAACGTAACAGTCCATTCCTATGTTGTTCCCTACTCTTCTTACTAAGTCCTCCCTGTGCTTGGTCAGTCATTCCCAGCTGTTGCTGTTTGTCCTCTGCGGGGCAGATTTCTGGGAATAGCGAGCATGAGAGCAAACTGTGACTACTCCACTCTTGACTACCAAGCGCAGTTTGTTCCCCCAGACCCTTAGGTTTCTTCTTTTTTATTCCGCAGAGCTGTTTGTCAGCAGACAGCGGGAGCCCTCACTGCAGGAACTGGCAGCCCAAATACTGCTGTGCTTAATGCAGATGGGTTAATCCAGGTAGAACAGTAGCAAATAGATCTTTTACATCTATGTTAAGAGAGACAGACCCTATTTTTCTATCAGCTTCTAAGGTTTAATTGATGATTGCTTCTTATGTTTAAGCATAGCAGTGCTTCTGACAGGATATAATTACTGTCTGGAGCATTTCAATGAAATGTTTCAACAGGTATTTCTAAAGTTGGAAAGTAAGTGAAATAAAGTTACAATGAAGTGAGTTACGTGCCTTATACCTTCTTTCTACTGTTGAAAAACACTACCAAGTATTCTTCCAAGGGTATTTGGTTAAAGTGAATGACCACCTTTTATGCTCTGCCCCTCAGCATGATATCTGCACTATATAGTAAGTACTCATGGGTCAAATTTTCGGTGCTATGAAGCACCTAACTTCTACAGATTTTGATAGGAATTAGTTGCTGAAAATCTTAGCAGTTGTGGCTAGATCTGAGGAAATAAATTTCAAAGAATATCGTTTACATTGATACCTGTAGCAACTCACATACTTTTCCATATATTTATGCCATAAATGAAGAAATAAATCTATAGTATATCTTTACAAAAAAAGTAATTGAATTCAATTAGTGAAAACAACTGGAGATAAAACTTGGTGAAAATTAAATAGAAAGATTATCATCAACATAGTTCACTTTTGCTCTGTCTGAACAGGTCAGCTATTGGGGTGCTTCTGCTTGCAAGAAATTCCATCGCAAAAGGTGGTTTAATTCCTAAAGGACAAAGGGTTTATTTTGCTGTTTGTAGCAGATGGCACATGCATTCTTCTCTGTGGTAAATTGTGTTTCTTTAAAGATACCATTTGTCTTCTACTAGAAACTGCTGTTTCCTCACAAAAAATACCTACATAACAAAACCATCTGTCCAGTAAAAATAAGAAATGGAGAAGCTGTTTTTTGAACAGGTATAACCACAAAATACTCCTGAACATCCATAAAGAGCAACATGAGATTAGATGCACGTCCACCTGCTGTTCCCTCTGCAGGCACTAGCTGAACTGTTAGCTGTAGTAGTAGGTCATACCCTGACACTTGCTGACCATCCCAACAAAAAATATAAAATCACTGCTAATCCCTCACTTGATCCTCCCCAGCAACCCACAAGGAGTTTATCAAATATCACACCTCTCCTACTGACATTCTTCCCAAAACAGAGCTCTGTGTACAAGATGTAATAAATGAATTTTAGTATTGAGCAAGAAGGGAGAATATAAAAGAACGAATGCATGCACAGGCTCCAAAATGAGCATTTTTGCTGAAGCTGTGCAGTGAGAGGCCCTTGCATCTCACTACTTGCATTGCTTTTGAAATATCCTGACTTGCAATCCTTGCATCTAAATGCAATGAGGAAGTCATCAATTCTGCATCTGGACAACCCACCCTGAAGCGGCTGCATTCCTATTTCCATAATCACTTGAACCAGTCCTTTCTGATTGCCCTGTTGGTGCCAGAAGGCTTGTGCTCATGATAAAAAGAAAAGGATTTAGGCCACCATTAGAAGACTGAGGATTAATACTCTAGAGGTTAGTCGAGCTTGCCAACTGTATTTCCTTCTTTAAAAGTTCACCTAGTCAAGTTTTTTTTTAATGAGCTGTAGAGATTGACCATCGTGCTGTTGATATGAAATGTGTAAACCAAGCAAATGGATGAGAGAAAAAAGAATCAGTGCTTTGGAAAACACCATAGTACTAGGGCAGAAGGTCAGCAATGTCTACATGAGCCAGAGGCCAGAGGCTAGTGTCATTAGGCAAAAATAACACTGATGTCATAGTGTGATTTAAGACTTTGCAGTGAAAGAAAAATCAAGGTGTTTAGAGGGCTTTTCTTGACAGATAAACACCGTCACCTTTTAGAGAACCGGGTTACAGAGAAGAGTAACGTGTTCAGATTTTCCTTTCACAGGAATTAGTCCCTTATCCCACCGTTATGTGACAAAATAAATGTGCAAAGTCAGACATCTCCTCTAAGATTGGTATATTCTAACATTCAGAGAAAGGCCCAGTTTCCACGCTGGGCCCCTTATAAAATTTTCCGCCCATATAGGAAAAGGTGCCTTTTACATGGGAGGTAGCTATCACCTGGTGAATCTGTGTGCTGGCGAGCTGCTCTCCAGAGGAGCCAAACCCAGCTGGCAGGTATTGACCTGACCTCAGTAGCATCAAATAATTACCTTTTTCACCATTAGGAGCATGTCTTCAGATAATCGTCTCTACTAGTAAAAATCTCTGTATGTCTTCTCTGCAGCCAAGGGTAGAAAAAACAATAGAGTACAACAGTTCCTTCAGGAGCGTCAGGACTAGTTTATTGGCCAGCAGTACTTCATAAGTACGTTCCCAAACCAGCAGGAGTTTAGCTTCCAGTTTCACTGTTCTCTCTGCTTAAGGAAAAGATGAGCTGCTTGCACCCGGAGTCAGCCCGCGCACAGAGCCTGCCCCAGGAGCGTGCCTGGCCCTGGCGTGAGCTGCGCAGAAGACTGACACCACCTCACTAACCCCCTCCCGCTCACTTTCCCTCTCTCTCGCTCTTTGCCTGTAGTTATTTTTAGATTTCACGGGTTAAAGCTTGTCCCTTCTGGACGCTTAGGCGCACAGGGCAGGAACACACACATGCTGCAGTTACTACAGCTCAGGCACAGGAGTTAGCCAACAGATGATCTTGTCCCACATGAAGGAATAAATTCTGATTTCTTATGACAAAACACCGCCCTTTGAGAGGATGCACAACGTGCTCAACCACATGGAATTTTTTTGCTTGCAAATTTGACTAGGAGACTTTCAGCGGATTGAAAAAGCGGTATACCCGGCGACTTCCTCTTTTCTCACATTTCCTTCCAGTTTGCAAGATCTTGCTTTCTTTCAACATTTGCTGTAAGCCTGGTTCCCATGCCGTCCGCCATAAATGCAGCGGTGGCTCAGCAGACAGCTGCTGGGTCGGTTCCCAGTGCTACTATTAGCACCACAACCGAAGGTGCAGGTGGGGGAACAGGGGGGATTTATTCTGCCATTATAAGTCGCAACCAGCCCATTATCAGAGTAAAGGAGAAGACCTATGAAGAGCTTCACAAGAAGTGCCTGGAGAAAAACATTCTCTATGAAGACCCTGATTTCCCACCGAATGACTCCTCCCTCTTCTATAGCCAGAAAATCCCCATCAAGTTCGAATGGAAAAGACCACGTGTAAGTAACATGTTTGCCGAGTGCCTTTTACTTTCTGTAAATTGAAGTATTCAGCCTGAGCTTACATTTTTTGCAGAAAGTGTGTGTTGGGGGAGGCTGGAAGAATAAGCTGGAGGTAGATTTCCTGAGAGCTCTCCTGGAAGATAACTGGCTAGGGCTGTGGAAGTTCAGAGAGTGTGTATGTACCAACTAAGATACAATAAACCAAAATGAAACAAACAAACAAAAGAGATGGAATGAAATACATAGAAAAATAAATACAGGATTTAATTTTCTTTTTTGCATGATTTGCTAGGGATTTTCTTGTCTGAAACTACCAAAGAAAAAGTCTCCCCATTCTGCAACAAGTTACTGGGTTTGCTGAGGCTTAATTTTTAAACACTTATTTCACTTACAACTTTGGTATTCTGCTGGTTTCCTAATCTATGAAAATAAAGGGGCAGGTTATGGTCTGAAACATGCTTTTATTCAGTTGTTTGCTCCCAACATTGTTTTGCCAACCTGCAAAGGTTGTTCAGATATTATCTGCTTTCCATGAATGCAGGTGTTGTAATCACTGTGAGGACCCACTCCTGCCTGCTAATCCCATTTATTTTTCCTATCTTGTGGGAATTCCCCAACCAGCCTTCCTCTTCTTTCCCACCCCAAGTCTCTCTCACAGGCAGAGGACTAATTGCTCAATTCCCAATTGATCCTCCATGGGAGGAGTCATCCTCTTTCCCGGTCATCCCTGCTGGGTGGCTGCTCCTCTCGGCAAGGCGGCCCCCGGGACGCTGCCTCAGCCCCTGCCATCCCCTGTCTGGCAGCGAGGACGTCATTCTGAGGAGATTCCCCAGCTCCCTCTCTCTGGCAGTTTTTGGCCGCCTCTTCTAGATTTGCCAGACTTCCCCAACACCCAAATCTGTGCTTCAATGGCAAAGTCAGCGGTGACAGATAAAAGTAACCACAGGAACATAACGAAATAGCAAAAGACCAGGAGCTCTCATGGGTCGCTGTTACAGAGGCAGAGGAAGGCCATGTGCTGCTGTCGCAACAACAACGTGAGCAACGTGGGGGGAGGAACATGACTCCCCCATCTGCCTTGCCCTGCGCATATGTGCTCTGTCATTCCTTCGTCATCACTGTGGCTGCAGCAGCTCCTGGAAATGTGTGTGAATGAGTTAAATACAGCTGCGAGTCGATCGTCTTAAAGGGATGGGATTTCTCCTGTTTCTACAGAGAGGAAAGGGACACAGCAGTGCAGTGGGTGAGTGCCAGCACCCCGGGGCAGACTGCAAGTGTGCATATGAGAGAGCATCAAAACATAAAAATCCCCACAATGTAACCTCAGACTTGTCTAATATAACTGAGCATGCACAGATCAAGCCTTTGGTTTCAGGAATGTTCAGACTTCAGGATCTCTATCCCAAAGATATTTCTTCAGGCCACTCATTAGCAAATAAGTTTGGAAGCTCCATACTTATTATTCATGTAGCAACAACAAGCTGTGGACTGTGTAAGACTCAAAATACAACCCAAACATCAAAACCAGAGCTTTTTGTGTTCTTCTGACACAGGTGTTCAGGCGCCTGACGTATCTGTGGTGTCAGCTGCAGGTAGAGCAGAGGCAGGAGAACCAGAGAGCTGCAGTCTGCGCCTGCCGAGTACCGGCATGCTGTGGGATCACAGATCCAGTTGTTCCTGACCCCGATAGAGATGTCTGTCCTTTTGGGGACACACCAGGCCCGATTTGTAGAGATGCCTGTGCCTTCTGTCGCAAATGTGTTTGTTTTAAAACAAACCCCGCAATTCAGGTCATTGCTGGACCCAGTAGGCCCCCACAGAGGAGAGACTCACATGTAACGCTTTCTCCTTTTATAATCATGGAATCATTTAGGTTGGAAAAGACCTTTAAGATCATAAAGTCCAACCGTTAACCTAACCCTGCCATCCCACCACTAAACCATGTCCCTAAGAACCTCATCTATCCATCTTTTAAATACCTCCAGGGATGGGGACTCAACCCCTTCCCTGGGCAGCCCATTCCAGTGCCGGATACCCCTTTCACTGAAAATTTTTTTCCTAATGTCTAACCTAAACCTGCCCTGGCACAACTTGAGGCCATTTACCCTCATCCTATTGCCCGTTACCAGGCAGAAGAGACCGACCCCCATCTCACTACAGCCTCCTGTCAGGCAGTTGTAGAGGGTGATCAGGTCTCACCTCAGCCTCCTCTTCTCCAGGCTGAACAATCCCAGTTCCCTCAGCTGCTCCTCATCAGACTTGTGCTCCAGACCCCTCA